TTGCTGTAACGCTACAAACAGGGCATCCGGTTTGTTCAAAGTCATCACACATAAACAAATACAACATGAAACAAGATTAACTAAAACTCATTGTTCATACTCATCATTCAAATTTGATTTTGAATTAGTTTGGCACATTTTGGCACAAAGTGTGTCAATATGTGCGCCAAATAAAACCGAACGGCACTAGTTTATGTAAAAGGGCAACTGCATCAAAACTATAAATCCTAGAGTTCTGAAACTTTTGGCAGTTGTTGCCAACTAAAAATGACCTTAGGGTTTGAATATTGTGAGGTTACAATGAAGTTTGCCTTTGTTGGGTTTTTATATATTTTATATTTTTGGACGAGGCAAAAAACAGGTTTTTCCCCCAAACTTCAAAGGATGCAGAGTGAAATAGGAATTCCATACATTATTCTAGTGTATATTAACATAAACTAGAAGGCTCTAGCTTTACAATGATGTATCACACAAGCATGTAATGTGTAAGATGTATTTTCAAATATGCAAAGATATTTGGGTATGCCCAACTTTTGTGCAAAAGCCAAAATGAGGTGGGTGTTAAGAGGTATTAATCTTAAAACTACAACTCTGCTTTGTTGGCATCGCATCAGTAATAATGTTGCGTTATGAATATGGTGCATGTAATCATAAATAGAAGCGTTCATTTCCCTACAGTACATGCAAGTGAAAGTAATGGGTCATTCTAACAAGACAGTTGTCCATTGTAATGAATGAGCAGACTCAAAGACTCCTGAAGTGATAAGTATATTATTGTTGCACCATTTTGCTTGGTTTCTCCATGAGTGTCTGGGTTGAGAAAATTATTCGATTATTAGTTTTAAACATAGTTGCACATAATCAACAGTCCAAAAAAACTTCCATCTTGACTTACCTAGGTTTCCGATTAAATGTAAGGTGCTCATTTTAGATCTGAATAATAAACAAATTCCCTGGAAATTGTGTGGAGATATGCAGGATGTACATTTTATGAGTCATTAAAAAAGACCTACTCATATTTTTATTTCACATTTTAGTGTTTCTTCATGTCTTATTTTCTTTCCCTGTAAGCTATAACCCCGCCAAAAATGTCTAAAAATACATTTAATATTGTGCGTTTTAGAGTGCGTTTCTGGCCAAGCCGTGAGTGGAATTTTTATCCACACGGCGCGATGAAGTTGTTGACAGTTCTGATTCCCTTTGGACAGACTGATCACACAGCCTTATGATTCACAAGGTGTGTGTGTGTGTGTGTGTGTGTGTGTGTGTGTGTGTCTCAAAGTGAGCATATTTTCAGGTGGGTGGAAATGGTTCATCATGAGAGGTGAAAACTCTGCAACTCCATTAGTATCTCTCCTACGCAGCACTATCTTTTCACACTTAGTTTGGTTGTACCATGCTCCTAAAATGCTTATAAACTTCATTTGCACAAAGTGAAATAAGAAACTTTAGCAAACATATGGAAATCGGGGAAACATAGCGGCTGGTTTGGATGTTACTGATCCCATTCAGCCACTTACTCTTTACTCAATGTAGACCTGTTGTGTCTCCTTTTAAAGCTACAAATCTGCAGAATTTGTTTTTTTGTTCATGTAATTTTGATAACTGCAGCAGCCATTGAGGTTATAAACACATATTCCCTTTGTATTTAATTTGACTCATTTGCATGTACTTGCTGTTCTTTAATTAAATAAAAAAATATGAAAAATGGCCAATATAGGCCTATATATTGTCCTTTTTATCTGAGATTCCTTTTGACTCTGAGGCAATAAGGGCCAATCTTTCCTCATCTTTTCTTGGATGTATGGCTTGAGAGATCGTTTCACACCAGGTTGATTGATTGGCTACAAAATGGGAAATTGAAGTGCTCTTGTTTGACCTTTTTTCCTTCTATTTTTTGCAATTTCCTATCGGAGCTTTACAAAATCTGTCTTGAGAAACTGCTGTTATGACACAGTACAGAACAGAAGTTCCACAGCACTTGTTCACATTCAACTCTAATTAAGCAAAACATGCTGCTTAAAACGCTCAGACATATATATTTTTTTCACAGAACGTTTTCAACTCCTCAGTGATGCAAGTGATGAGTGGGTCAGTGCAACGCCCTGTTGAAGTAAAGTTGCCACAGAGCATCCCCCCATGCTGTGAGATGGGGAGAGGATGAGAGAGCTAAGTCTCCAAAGTGGCTCAATAAGAAGAGGATTAGCCGGGCCCTCTATTAACCAAAGCCTTGATGATGCTAAGCTAATATGCTACACTTAGATAAAAGTTAATACGGCTAAATCTATAGCTAGCATGACCACATAGTTAACGACATTAATTACAGGCCTCACAGGGAACACTGTTACAAGGTTACTCGTTTTTGTCAACAGTAACTGCATCACGCACTACTTGATTTTGAAAGCATTATTTTTCTTCTTCTCAGTAGAAGCAGAAAATGTGCACTAGACCACCAGTGTCACCACTACATAAATAATTTTCTGTAAAAATGTATTTATTAGGTAAGGAGTGCAAGAACTGACTTACCCATGGGTTGGGAAGTTCTTTCTCGTTCAATGGAAGACTTTCAATCAATCAACATTTGTTAAAAATGCAGTGCACAAGGCAAAACAAAGTGCTTCACAACACCCAGATGCAATGGGAGCTTTTCAAATGATCCCATAACAATAAGTGCATTTTTAAAATATCAGAATAATTAAATAACAGGGATTTAAAAATAAAAATAAAAAAGCCAGCCATGCGCCCAGCTGAGCAGAACTGAGTAAAAACATGACCAGGAACTCCCCATGTTTAGACTTGACTCGGATTTGCTTTTCCCATTGGCATATCATGTTTGATGACTCTCAAATCAAGACAGGAGGATTTTTACCTAATTGGATAATATATTTATCTTAACATTTGACAGTTTTTCTTATTCTCCTTGTATATTTCATTTTCTGGCAGTCAGAGCTGTCATCCCCCCAACAACAGGACACAACAACAGCCGACATCAGTAGAAGTCGGTGGAGAAGGTCTCATGGTGGACTTGAACCCACAATTTTCAGGCTCAGAGGCCAATGCTCTACCAACTGAGCTACCGTGTCTATTTTATATTTTTTGTAATTTTGTTGTTGTCTTAAAAACACATGGACACAGGTCCAGAAAAGGAACACTAATAAAATAAACATTATTCCGTAATCCGCTTTTGATGTTGAGTTGTTTAGAATGTTAATTCAATTCATTGATTGATACAGTATTTTTTTAGTCCACAGGTGCATTATCTTCCAAACCCAATGGCACACTTCAGGATCCAGATTCATCAGGTCAAGAACAATGAGCGTGTCTAAATAGTGCCAGAAGAGTTTGCGAGGTCTAGTAGCATCCTGTTACGCTCTAATTGATTCCCCAAATTGTGAAGTCACACAATGGGCAACCAGATTAAAACGGCCTCGGCATCTTCCCATTAATCAACATCAGAGCATGACAAACTCATTGCCTCAAGTAACCTCCAAGCTATTAGTATAAAACAGGGAGCGACCGTCCTCTGCACTGCATTGGACAATTCATTACAGAGGGGCTTTGTGTTTCTGGCTATTACCTCTAAATTATATTTTGCTATTAGCATAAGTCTAAATAATTCTGGAAAGATGAATGGCTTTTAAAGTGGATGAGCTAAATGATGCTGCAAGTTATTTATTTTTGCTTTACAAACACTTTTTTAATGGATTATTATAATTACGTTAATCAAAATCTACTGAAGTATTTATTTATTTTTCTTTTCAGTGCTCAGAACTTGGCTTAATAGATTTTGTATGTGTAGTTTTTGGGCTCTTGGATCCATCCTTGGACATATTCTTATTCGTATTAAACATTCTTGGGAATTAATATAATAATTCATCTACTAGAGTTGGTAAATGTCTTGTAGAATATAGTGAAACAATTATGAGGGGTAAAAACATATTTCCACCTGTAACTCCTTATGCTACCATCAGAGGGCGGTAAAAGTAGAGTTCATTTCCAAATTTGAAAATAATGGGTAAACTTTTGGTTCGAAAACTGCCATGGATAATGGCGTAACTGTACAATATCATCATTCTATCTGACAGGACTGAGATAGGAGCTTTTAGACAGAGGGTCAAATTCATGTGAGTGAATGGATCTAAAAACAACTCCAGGTCTGTTTTGATGAGTGTCGGTTTTGTAACATTAAAATCTCAAAACAATATATTTTGGATAATTTGTCTCCTTTAAATAATAACTCAAAGTACTCCAGTCAATCCTCGAGCATTTTACACAGACTTCTTGAGTCAAAACATTGTATATTACCAAAACACCATTTTTTTGCCTGCTTCTTTACAAAATCAATGACCATAATAGGACATTTGCTCAAATATTCTGTTTATCTTTATGAACAAATGTATATACTGTTTGTTTAATTATTTGATCTCATGATCTTTTGGGAATCAACCATTCTGTGATGGCCTTTGAGACTACTGCTGGTGTGATTTTGTGAATATACAAAAATTGGTATTTGTTAGAAGAATATATAAATTATTTAAACATGCATGGACAACAACGTTGAGTGGGAAAATGGAAAGTATTGGTTGGCCAAAAACCTTTTTAAATTTTTTTTTTTAATAATAGGTCTTGTTTAAACTTCAAACTTGAAGGACAAATCCAAAAACCGCTTTCTCTTTGCCTGTTGACAAGAGTGAGCAGGGGACACGACCGCAAACAGAGGCTACTGCAAAGTTAAAGAATGCACACCAGATTGCAAAAGACCATATTTGGAGGACGGAATAGAGCATTGGGAAGAAGTGCTGTTTGCGTAGCCGTGAGCGTAAACAAGGACGGTAATATTTGGTGGGAAGATGTAAGAGAAGTTGGTGGTTGCAATGAAAAGGGTTGAGGTAGATGGGGGCAAAATGAGATGCGTTGTGCAACATTGAAACGCGCTAGGGGGCAACTGAAAATGGCTCGAACGGAGAAAGAGAGAAAAATAAGGGAAGTGCTTCTGTGAAATGATGGCAGCTGAAAGGTAAGCACTCCAAGGCCCAGTTTGAGAGAAGAAAGCCACAAACAGGGCAGAGGGTTGAGAGGCAAAGAGGCAGAGGTGGCCCTGACAACACCTGGGGCCCACGAGGACGCTGAGAATGAGCAAAAATACAATTCTGTTTGGAGAAAAAAAACTGCACTGTGGAGGTTTGGAATAGATGCATTTTCGTAGTTATTTATTGCTGCTTTTTATGTTGTGTTGTTTGGAATGTTCATCCATTTCAATGATACCAACATAAAGTAAGTGATCAAAAGGTCTGCAGACATAGAGCATGACTTACATGTCATTACTTTTAGCGCTTCTGCAGTGAAAAACGAAGGATGCATTTATAGACCAGTGGTGATTCCTCGCACTGTGCTCCAGATACACAATTGAATGTGATAACTGAGGGTCTTTTGCAGAAATTAAATGATTATACTTTGGAACATAGATATACATTTTTTTTCAGTTTATCGTAACCAAGCCATTTTGCCAAATAAAATGTGTATAATAATTCTAATTAAATTATAAAGTAATATATAATGGCATAGTGGTATGTATTACCTCCATGCACAGTTGGAGATGGGTGATAGATATGTGCTTAGTAAAGGTAAAGGTTCACTTTATTGATCCCCTTAGGGCAATTCATCCTCTGCATACTAAATCTAAATACTAATCACTAGATAATTAACTATAAATCATACAGACATTAGCACTTAATTTGCTGTTAATAATGGAAGCTAAACTGTGAAGTGTAAAGTGTGACTCCTCTTTTTTTTATTCTTAATAACTGAAATATCCTGCTCACAAATGCATTATAAAGATTTAAAATTAAGTTCAATGTTGTTTTCAAGCAAAACAAACTGAGCTAAATTTCTTTACATTTTTAAAGAAGAAAAAATGGTGTGTGTGGATAACTCATGAATAAATCTCAAAGTGTCCAGTTGCCGTACAATTTCTTCAGAATCCCACATGATTCTTGTATTCCAACCTCTGTAGCAGATAAAAGAGAAACTCATATTGCTAATGTTTCATATTCAGACTGTCTGGCGCGCTGTCCCTGCACAATGGCCATGCGTAATGATTGCCCCGCCGTCTCCAGAGGGCAGGGGGCCATGCGTATTGCGTAATCCTCCTTCTATTTCCAAAGAAGTCTTACAGAGTGTTACGTTCAAGCAGTCTAACCCTTACACAAGCAGAAAGTCACCCAAGAGTCACCAGGCTTAAATCTCCAGTGGACACAGTTTTGGCTCAGAGCACTCTCTTTTTCGATCCACTCATTATTAAACTCACTGGTTTAATAGTGTTCATATGAAAGAGGAGAGGAGGCCAACACACCTGCGAGAAGCTTCTGATGCGCCGTGCTGAAGCCTTGATTGAACTTTGTAGCCTACGGGAAAACCTCAGCAGACTCAAATGCGAGGCTGAAAAGGCTCCCGAGGCCTTCACGGGCACGGTAAAATCATTACCATCAATAGCTTTTGCACCAGTTACCGTGACATCCCGAGACCCCAGGATGTACTCAATAATTGTATGCATTCTTGGACTATGGGAAATATGTTGTGATGTAGTTATGGTTGTCTGCCTCTTATGGACCATACCAATGTGTTTTCTGTTTTATTTCTTACAATACAATACACATTACAATTTATTCTTGTATAGCCCTGAATCACAACAGAAGTCATCTCAGAGGACCTAACAAAACCATTGAAATCACCAACACAGATCAGAGAATCAACAGTTAAGACACAAGAAAGAAGAACATATGTTGATAAATGTCCATACATGTTGTAGAATGTGTCCTGGATCATCACCACAGTCCTTCTTGTTAGACTCATAACCCTCCTGCGTTGGAAAGGAAAAACTCTTAAACTCAGAGGGAAAAAGTGAGAAACCTCGAGGAGATCCACATTGAGAGAGGGATCCGCTCCCAAGGACGGACGGGCTATAGATCCAGGACCTAAGCTACAGAACATGGACCAGAGCCATAAAGCGGCCGCAGAACGTGGACAGGTCCGGTGCAGGACTGAAGCAGCTCCCAGGCAGGTCAGGCAGGGCAGTCCACAGGTGTAGATGGAGGAGGCCAGGTTCAGAGGTCCCGTCGTCGCACCATGAAACAGACAATGGGCCAACGGGTGAATAGCAATGAACATACTGCTGTCAAAAATCCTAATATTGCAGACAGATATAGTAGGAAGGAGGAGAGGATGGAGCTCAAGTTACTTTACTTCTCCCAGCAAACTGACTCCCTACGCAGCTTGACTGACAGTCTAAGAATTCTTGTGTTTGAACTGTTGATTCTCTGATCTGTGTTGGCAAAGTCGACGGTTGTGTAAAGTCCTCAGAGATAACTATACTTTTGTGATTTAAGGCTATACAAGAATAAATTGAACTGAATTAGTTTAACTCTTGAACAGGTTAAGATGAGCAGAAACAAGTATTTTTTTCCTAAAACATTTGTATCCTTCTACATGAGAAAAAGGAATTGTTGAAGATTGTCTTTGGAGTGGCTTGTTGACTTCTCTGCCCATTTATTGGGAGCTCTTCTTTTACAGCTGTGGTTGAATGTGTCTGAATTGGTGCCTCAGAGTTTCAGTTTTTCGTTGCTGCACTGAACTGCTGTGCTTTGGAGGGATCATAGTATTCCAATAGTTCATAAAGACTTATTTAATGGGAGATTAATTTAGCAGGAAAGTATTTGGAAGTGCTGCAGGGAGCTGTAACAGAGGAGGCTGGATTATAGAGCCACCATTAAAACTCGTCTGCAGTTCATGAATATAACATTGGCTTCTGAGTGTGATATATTTGGAGTTCCGTTTAACTTTTAAAGTTATGGAACTCTCTCTTAATGGGAATATGCCATTTTATTCAACAGACATTTAATCATCAGAAACATTGCTGAATAGTAATCATAGTGTGTGTATAACAGCCTTTGAACAGTTCATTCAGAAACATCATTTGATCACATTATCTAAGGCAGGGGTGCCCAAACCTTTTGCTTCCAAGGGCCAAAGTAAAAATTTGCCAGTGGACCGCGGGCCAAATACACCAATATTATGCATGAAACACAAATAAATGTAGATTTGATCAAGTTCTTTTAAATGCATTAATTATTGTCTATCAGTGCAAATCACAGCTGAATGAATGAAATCAACACAGTCTTAGTGAAGTGGAGACTCCAGGGAAATATGCAGGTTTGAGGAGACTACAGTACGGAAAGATTCCGGTCGGGTAATCAGGGTCCAGAGGAGGGAGATTTTCTGTCATGGCTTATTTAAAGGTTAAAATCATATAATAAAACCTCAAAAAGAGAACAGAAACATACATTTTGTGTGCACCATGTGCACTTGTATATTGTAAATAGTAACTGTAACTCTATTTTAAATTTAAATTTAGTGTTTTTTATTCTTTTTTTATTATCTCTGTTGCACTGAGCCAAAGCAATTTCCAAGTCTATTTTCATATATTTATTTTGAACAAAAGTTTTTAACTACATTTGAATCATATTACTTTATCTTAGCTTTTATCAAAAAGGGGAGACATCACTGATCAATAGATCTGGTTTTAGCACACTTTTAAACAATACATTTTAACATTAAGTAATGAATTTGGGAACATAATTGCTAACTGCATTTTCTAAACATGATCAGGTTTAATAGGACAAGTATTCTCGATTAGTAGTGAACTGAATATTAAACTAACAAAATCAGACTAGTTAACCATGATTTTTTCCTGGAGTTTTGTTTTGTTTTGCCTAAACACAGTACAACATTTATAAATAATCAAAACAAAGTAACTGTTAAAGAGTCCGAGTTTCCGCTCCTCCAAAGGGCTCTTGAACGCATCATAAAACTCCGCGTAATGGTGCGTTCAGACCAAACGCGATTTCTGCGGCCAAATCGCGTCTATCGCGCGGCTTGAGCCGCTTGTGACAAATTGTGGCAGCCGCTGTCACAGAGAAACTTGGCCGCGCGGCCAGGACACTAGAGGGCAGCCGCTGTCACAGAGCGTTGAGAGCGTCTAGGGGCGGGGCTTGTCTCTTTTGCCTGTAGCTTCCCAAAATGGATGTCAGCGAAGGAGTTGCTTTATCTGATAAATAAAGCCAGACACGTCGTCAAAGGGCGAATCGACGACGTGTCTGGATTCATCAGATAGTCCGTAGACGGTTGGAGTTTGGTGAGTTTCACCATTTGCTCCGGGAGCTGCGCTCGGATGAGGGTCGCTTTCAGCGGTACTTTCGTCTCTCCCTGGCCCAGTTTGACGACCTACTGACCCGCATTGGCGCTAGGATCTCCTACCAGGACACCAACTACAGGCGCTCTATTCCAGCTGAAGAGCGCCTGTCCATCTGTCTGCGGTTAGTGTTTTTTTACCCCATTCAGAATTCATAAATACTTACAAAGTGTGTCATTTTTCAATCACAATCCACAATGTAATTGCTCAGAAAACAGTATTATGCAACAATATGGTGTCTATGATTACTGTCTATGATGTTTACTGTCTACTAGTTTAACGTATTTTATGCTACACAAGTTTTGTCACGTGATTTTTATGAATGTAATTGTGATAAATATGTTCATATCATTTTGTAATTGCAGGTTTCTTGCCACTGGGGACTCCTACAGGACCATTGCGGGGAGCTTCAGAGCGGGCATATCCACCGTCTCCATGCTCATCCCAGATGTGGTGGCAGCCATCTGGGACTGCCTCGTGGAGGAGTTCATGGCTGTGCCTGGAGCAGAGGAGTGGAGGTCCGATGGAACTTCCCTCTGTGCTGTGGGGCCATTGATGGGAAGCATGTGGCTGTGAAGGCAACCCCCCAACTCTGGGTCCATGTTTTTTAATTATAAGGGGCACCATTCCCTTGTGCTCCTGGCTGTAGTGGATGCCCAGTACAGGTTCAGGGTGATTGATGTGGGAGGGTACGGCAGATCCAGCGATGGAGGCATCGTGTCCAACTCTGCCTTTGGTGAGGCTCTGCGCGAGGGCACACTCGACCTGCCTCCTGACCAGTGCATACCTGGAGCTGACCACAGAGGACCCCAGCCCCATGTGTTCGTGGCAGATGAGGCCTTTTCACTGCGCCGCAACTTAATGCGCCCTGCCCATCTCCAGCCATGAGGATGAGGATGGCTGGAGATGGGCAGGTTCCTGCACCGAGGGGAGCTGCTGCCGGTGAAGAACCACTTCCAGGCGTGCAGCGGATGGCCGCCTGGAAGCCAGCAGTGGACATAAGGAAAGTGTTCATGGCCCACTTCAGTGAGGAGGGAGCACTGCCGTGGCAGCCCACAGAGTAGTCATGTCCACCACAAGACTGACCCACATCTGGCCATAGTCCAAACCCATATTGATTTGCACTATTCTATTCACCTGTATACCTTCTGTTTCTAGGTAATGACTGCCAGACTCCACTGCGACTCCACTCCAACTTCAGGTTAATCATATGCACATTCAAGCTTTTCCATAATTACAAGGTTGTTAAAACAGTAAAAGGTGAAATGAATAAAAAATACTGTCAACTACTGTATCGCTCTTTAAGTGTTTGTTATTCCATCTTCTATAAAACCCAGTCAGCTCTTATAAAAGTAAATGTACAAATATAGAATAGCATTTTCTGTCAATATTATATGAAAGGTAGTAATGGTTGGCTTGAAGTAGAACACATGAGGTTTGAAAAATATTTTCTTTATAAAAAAAGTAACAAACAATGAAAAATAAATGAAATGTACATATAAACAAATGAAAAGGAGCTTGCTTGGAGGAGGTGCGGTGGAAGAGGAAAGGGACACATGTCTGTTTCCTCCCCTGCAAAAGGTGTCACCTTAGGTAAAAAAAACTGTACTGGCCAATGGTTCCAAATTAAGCAGAACGGTGCTGCTTTCATATAAAAGTTGGTACATTTTGAATTTCACAAATTCTTTTGACTCTGGTGCCACCCTTTGCAGGAGAGGAAAGAGAGAGAGCAGGAACTGATGTTCTTCTGAGTAGTCGGGCGGTCCGGCTGCTTTGGTCCGTAGAGTCTCCAGCAGCTCCCGCTCCCACTCTGAAGGCCCACCAAGGAAGAGGGCTCGGAAGAGGCCCACGTCCGTAGAGCCGCCAACAAAGAACACAGGGCAATCACAGTGTTAAAAAGTGGAACATGTATTTCAAAAAAGCAAAATGAAGAGAGCAAATAATATCTGTATTAAAGCCAGAGTGTGTAGACATAGTTAAACACATGTAAAACACTTTTAAGTAGTGTGTTTGTTACAATTAACTTGAACATTGCAGTTATCAATGAAATTACTCACACATGCACAAATTTCGACAGTTACAAACTAATATCTCTGAAGTGTATTTCGCAATGAAATTTGAAATTGGCTGTAAAAAAGTAATACTCTATTGTCTGCATTAAACAGGATAGCTGCCATCTTGTGGCAACCATTGCATGTATTTGTTCAGTACTTTTATAGCATAAGGTATTTCAGTAGTATGTTTTTATCAAAGAAAGAGGGAAGATGTGTTGTATCAGACCAAAGCTTCTTTCCACCTGTAGTGCCTTGACATCTTGTCGTTTCTCTGTAAATTTGTCGTCTACACTGATGTAACAGCCCTTGGGTAATTTTGGCATATTATGCAGTAACATTTTGTTTATATGAACAGTCCTGTAATAAGAATAAAAATAAAACAATGATTAAAAAAAACCACACCTGTAGGTGCAGAAGCAGGGGAAGGTCCAGCCCTCACAGAAGAAGAACCGGCTGAGGAAGCAGCAGCAGCAGCAGCAGCAGGCAGCTCAGGCCAAGATGTCTCACCTTGTGTGGTGGTGGCAGTATCTGTGCCAGAAGAAAACAAGAAATACAATTATTTCATATCATGTGTACATTGCGCTTATGACATTTATATGTACATAATAATGTACATTATTATGTACATTTAAATGATTTGTTCATATAAAAGGGAAAAGTGAAATTTAACACAACACATGATCAAGATCTATCCTGGTTTGAAAATAGCCAATGCCTATTTTCACCTGGCCATGATGTTAAGGAAGCATTAAAAGAAATGCATACACAGAAAGCAATATAAATGTAAAAGTCAGCAAAATGTGTAATAGAAAGGAAAGAAATGTATTTTTTCCAACTGTTCGAGGTCTCCGTTTGCTGCATGACACCGACCTTCAGCACCTCATATGTGTCCCTCAGATTCTTCCACCGCTTTTTGCAAACTTCCACTGAATAAACACATCAACTCGTAAGCAGGAAAGTAGTAGTTTTTTTTGCGGGGAAATATTTACAACATTGAAAAGTTAAAATAACTTACCCGAGACACCAACCACCTCGCTAACCCTCCTCCAAGCAAGCTCCTTTTTATTTCGGTCCCGGTAGCTGTGGTCCGCAGTGTTATATAGCTCAGAATGAGCACCGACCTGAGCAATTGACGTGTCCTCCATAGCTGTCATCTACCAGTGTTTTTCCGGTAGTGAAATGCGTCACTACGTCACTGGAGGAGAAAGCTCCTGATTGGTCGGCACACGCGAATTCTCCCAAAAAGTTCAACATTGTTCAACTCTAGCGGCGGCCGCGTTGGAGGCACGAATCGCGCGAAACGCGCGTCAAAACGCTTGACATCTCAAAACACGCCGCGCGAAACGCTCGAATTCGCGCCGCTCTGGCCGCGCGAATCGCGCCGCGTGATCTCTCGCCGCTCCTTGGCGCGCGTCCCCCATGTTGTGTCAATGTAGACCCGCCGCTTTGGCCGCAGAAATCGCGTTTGGTCTGAACGCACCATAAGTTCTGACATTCAATGATCGCGAGTGAGGACGGCGCTTACCGGCTTCTTTCATGGGGTTGTAGAAGGGCTTGTTTTGCACAGTATTTGTTGCTTCTACTTACGTGGATCGTGCGCTGCGATCCCTGCTTGTCCTGCTTGAACTCACTCTGAAGTGTTTGTGTCCGTCCTTTTTAACACACCGGGTGGGTGCGGATTGCGCAGGTGAATAGTTCCACTCACCATTTCCCTCCGGTGAGGAGGGGGAGTGGCAGTTCGCCAGCACAATCCTCTCAATTTGATAAAACATTAAATAGCTCCAAAAAATAATAATAGTAGGCTGAAAAAAAACATAAATGGGCCTTGCACCCAAATGTTTTGAAAGATGTGTTTGATTTTAAAAAACATTTTAGTGCAAGTTGATGTGAACCATGATTGAGGAGTGTATCTCGATACAACACTTAAGTACTGGACAGTCGTAATTCAGAGGGCGACTATGCGCCCGTGCAACCTCAGACATGTCACTGTTAATTCAGCGAGGCTGAGGGACGCAGATAGAAACTTACAGAGGAGGTGGGCAATGTTCGGCGGGCCAACTGAAATGGTCTGGCGGGCCAACTTTGGCCCGCGGGCCCCACTTTGGGCACCTCTGATCTAAGGATCTAAGACACATTTTTTTTTTTAATGTGTCTTTTTGTTTTTCTTGTTGTTATATGTCTTTTAATTATTTTTAATTAAAAGACAATTTAGGGCGGCACGGTGGCTGAGTGGATAGCACTCTCGCCTCTCAGCAAGAAGGTCCTTGGTTCGAATCCCGGCCGGACAAGGGCCTTTCTGAGTGGAGTTTGCATGTTCTCCCCGTGTCTGCGTAGGTTTCCTCCGGGTACTCCGGTTTCCCCTACCACTAAAAATATGTACAATAGGTCTGGCATGCGCCTCCTGTTCGGCGACCCCGCTCCCATCTCTGTGTGGAGTGAGAGACAAATGCCCAAAAATAACAATTGTAAACCGCTTTGTGACTCTGGTCTGTGAAAGGCGGTATATAAATAAAGATTACTTACTTACTTACTTACTTACTTAATATGGACCTTTTATTCTTGTGTCCGAAATAAAGTATTGAATGAATGAATGAATAAGGATTAGTACATGTTGACTGTCGCTGTGCAACAAAACACTAAACAAAGTCTTAAATCAGGTTTTTTTTGTGTTAATATGTTTCTGACATTGTAAATGTTATAGTTAATTTGACATGTCTTTGCTCCTGGACCTGTGTATATGTTTGTGTTAGTACATAATTGATGACAAAAACTATTTCAATTTCTAATGGAATTTCCGTGTTTTTCCCAACGCAAATGTCGTGAATAAATCAGACCACAATCTTCTGTCTTTGCCTTTTTAGAAACTTGTATGAAAGAACCCCATGAAGTATTTGACGCTTTGTTTGGAGAGCTGAGGGTGGTCTCTCTGTGATCTAAAGATGTGATCGAGGCCAAAAAGACATGCATGTTCAACCCCAACTGTTTTCACTGCAAGGAAAAAAATAGATATTTTATGACCTCAAAGGAATATTTCATGGAGTAGAAGTGTGGTAGAAGTGTGTTTCCACCCCCTTAACCCCCGTGTGTGCTCTGTGTCTCTGCAGCCTGTGAGTTGATGAACCGTGGGATCCTGGCTCTGGTCAGCTCCATCGGCTGCATGTCGGCGGGCAGTCTGCAGACTTTAGCCGACGCCATGCACATCCCTCACCTGTTCATTCAGCGCTCTCCCAGAGGCTCTCCTCGCTCCTCCTGCCCTCCCATCAGCCACCTCCCCGGAGCCGACGACTACACGCTCATGGTCCGCCCTCCGGTCTATCTGAACGAGGTCATCATGCAGGTGGTCTCCGAGTACAGCTGGCAGAAGTTTGTGCTCTTCTACGACTCCGACTTTGGTACGATGTTTATTTTTATCATGTTTTATACGGCTTTGATTTTTTTATGTTTTATGTCGCTTCAAGCACTCGGTGGAAACTGTAACATTGTTTTTATTTGACTTTCAAGGGAACTGATAACGGATTGATTGTGTTAAAGCAGCATTAGTCCAATAACATTCTCTCTCCCAATAAAAAAATGCCATATTAATCGATTAAATACATCAATATTGTATTTGATTTAGTTAGTAATTCAGTTTAAATGCCATTTTCAGTAAAATAATACATTAGAGTTAGCATGTGTAAAAACATTACAGTCAATGGTAATAACACCAATTGTCGCTGTGAAATATCTCTCAATGTTTTTTGCATACCGCTATTGTCCGATTATTGGATTATTAGCCTTATAATAATGTTGATTATAAGTATTTATGGGGTGATAAAATGATTAAAGCATATTTATTTCTGTGAACCAGATCCTCACTGCAAAAAGGGATGAAAGATTACTTTTGCATTTTTTTTTTTATTGCTCAAATTTGGCAGAATGTATCTTAACTTGAGCGATGTCCACTCCGTGACAACAATAAGATAATAACCAGCTAATTATATTGAAATCTTCACTACACATCAAAGTTTTTTTGCAGTGCTGTACATACCATTAGGCACAGCGATATGATGTTGTCCTTATAAGTGCGTATCCCTGTAGATTTCACACACCAAAGAAGTATGCCTGCTGTTCTATCCCTATGCAACCTCCTTTAAACTCTTACTGTTTTTTTCTGGTTCATTAAGTAAACATTAGCCAGAAAAGACTTCTGGAGAAAAGAAAAACAGTACTTATTCCACAAAGAGATGCAAGAGAGCAACTTTGTGGAAATATTGTGCCACAAGCCAACGCATACATTTTTGCCATTGAACTTTTATCCTGATTCTATTGTTTTAGTTATTTCAGTAATAATATGATACCGTTGAGGCATTTAACGTACTAATAGAATAATCATCCTCTATAGGTACCCAAATCACCGCTTAAAAATAGAATACTCGTTATTCCCCTTTCAGGATTCAGTTTTGTGTTTACTGCCAGACAGATCAAACGAATCTGTGCCAATGGCCTCTCACTCAGGCCGCAGACTGCACCTGCTGCTGGAAAGGTGAGATACCAGCAGGTGACAGCGGCTGGACCTGCACTCCTGAGATCCCCTGTTTATGCAGCCCTCATCTATCACATGATTTTTGGATTTATTGAATTGGCTATTGATTATGTAATTGATTAGCGGGGTATTTATTTATAGCCCAATAAGTAAAAAGGGATATAGATATTGCTTTGAATGTGTATAAACTGTTGCTAATTATAACCCGCAATTAAAGTTTGTAGACGTAGACATTTTAAGTTGGACACAATCATACCACAGCTATTTTGAAATGATTGATAAACTGATAAATTGAAAGGCAGAACACCAAATCTCACTATGCTTTTTGCTGTAACAGTCATGCTATTTCAACAGTTTCAGCGCCGTTGCTATGGAAACAGGTCTTCCTGCAGGAACTTTTATATCATTTGTCGCATTGACCCATAGTCATATGGAGTGTTAGGAAATTATCACGTTTGAAAATCGTCTGTGGGCAGATTTAGAATAGTGTCATTCAAGAAGCAGTGAAGCAGGCTCCAATACAGCAGGCTCCGATACAGCAGGCTCCGATACAGCAGGCTCCAATACAGCAGGCTCCGATACAGCAGGCTCTGATACAGCAGGCTCTGATGCAGCAGGCTCCGATACAGCAGGCTCCGATACAGCAGGCTCCGATACAGCAGGCTCCGATACAGCAGGCTCTGATACAGCAGGCTCCGATACAGCAGGCTCCGATACAGCAGGCTCCGATACAGCAGGCTCCGATACAGCAGGCTCCGATGCAGCAGGCTCTGATGCAGCAGGCTCCGATACAGCAGGCTCCGATACAGCAGGCTCCAATACAGCAGGCTCCAATACAGCAGGCTCTGATACAGCAGGCTCTGATACAGCAGGCTCCGATGCAGCAGGCTCCGATACAGCAGGCTCCGATACAGCAGGCCCCGATACAGCAGGCTCTGATGCAGCAGGCTCCGATACAGCAGGCTCTGATACAGCAGGCTCCGATACAGCAGGCTCCGATACAGCAGGCTCTGATACAGCAGGCTCCGATACAGCAGGCTCCGATACAGCAGGCTCCGATACAGCAGGCTCTGATGCAGCAGGCTCCGATACAGCAGGCTCCGATACAGCAGGCTCTGATACAGCAGGCTCTCTCTCTCTCTCACACACACACATATGTATAAGTATAGAGAGAGAGAGAAACAGGGCATGTCTCCATCCCCACACGTTGATTTAAATTACATTCATGGAGTCGTACTTCTTCTACCAAAGTCATTTGAAACAATTAATGTGTTTTATGCATCGATCCCCAGCGTAATTGTTTTTCACTACACTGAAGGGACAGAATGGCCTTTATATTTCAGAAAACACAAAAGAAAAGATTAAAAACTAACAGTACTAAAGATTAATGCAAGACACTGTGACATGTGTGCTTAAATTAAATGTGCTGCACCCACTTTACATTTTCTGTAATCATTAAATGAAATGACCTCACTAAAAGTATTGCTGGGGCTTCATACGGCACTAAGCACTACCATGAAAATGTCAGTTGGATTGAGACTAAAAAAAATGCGTTTTATGTCCTAATCATCACGAGCATGAGCTTGTGTGCAAGCAATAAAACATGCAAAGCTAATACATTAACTGTTAAGTAATAACTTGAACATATCTTTTCTGCTCTAATCGCACTTTCCTCCTGGTGGGCTCCATCAGAGGCACTATTGTCCCCTTCGCCTCACCCATGGCCTGGCTCAAGGAGGAGTGTATGTGTGTGGAAGAGAAACAGATATAGAAAAGAAAAAGTGGGATATTGGCTTTTAAAGATGATAAAATGTCTGTCTGAACAAGGAGAGAGTATGAAGGCTCTCCTCACACTCCAATCCACTGCAAACATGTTTTTTTCTGTCTTCATGTTAAAAGTAAAACAAATGGGATTTACTACAAATCGGAGAAACAAATTATCTTCACTTGGCAGTCTTTAATATGTAACCAAATGTTCAAAGTAGTGCATGGTGATTCTGGATCCTGCGGTAAACACCCAATTACTTTACACTGCACTTATTCCATTGGCGTTTTAGAATATTGGCAAAGATAGTCATTTTCACAGGCACTAGGAAATGTCAGTTTTGATGTCAGATCGAGACACTTGACGTTAATAGTTAAACGAAAGTCAAATCATCACTGTTACTAGTGAAAACATGACAAATGGGTCTGGAATTTTCTGAATGCAAATGACATAACAAGTCTGATTTTGAGGGTGAAAAACTTCATAAATGATCAAATGAAAACTTTAGCCCTCTCAAATGCTCTTTGTTGGCTGATTATACATTATGTTTGAATGTCTTTACTTGTTTTAGTGCCAGGATAGAAACAGTCCACAGATCTACTTATTTGAACGGTTTGTAGATTGGAATGCTCTGACCGGTTTGAGGCAATTTGAGTTTGGTTCTTTACACAAATTCCTGTTATTTGCTCAAGTATCTTTACAAGTGGAGTGGATTCAAATAACACACAGCTTGTTGTCCTGAAAAGGCAAGGCCAATCTGATGCCAAAACATTGCAGATTGATACAAAACTTCTCTATAAAAAAGAGAGAAATACGCCTTTTTCATTCTGCCTCAAATAAATAAAACTTGGATCCTGGTTAAAAACATTTACTTATACATTCATGTGTGTCATTACGTTAAAATTAAGGCATAGTTTGATTCCTCTTCAACTTCATGTCCTGCTGGTAAGAGAGCTAATTACCAAGTACAGACTAATGCCGACTTGGTAATTAGCTAATTAGAAAGGAACTGGTCACGCAAAGCATAATCATGGTGCTTGAGTCTTATTATAAAAAATTGGTTTATTTTTTAAAGCTAAGACCAGCAGTTGTGTTACAGTGTATCAACGATGACAATGGCCTGTTCATTAGTAATTTGTTACTAATGAATCTACATTTCATGAAGTTCTTTGAGATGATGAGCGTGAATTGACTCAGGATAAAATTTTAGATGTATTTATTATTTATGTATTTGAAAACATTTGATATATCCATTTACTTAGTTGGACATGAGCAGGATTTGACAAGAAGGTCCTGGGTTTGTCTCCCGAGCTTCTGAAGGCCTCTCTGCATGTTCTCCCTGTGTCTGCTTTGGTTTCCTCCAGTGGACAGAAAGGGCGCCCTTTGGTTTTCGGCTGAAATTCACTCGTTTTTTGCACAGTGGGAATGAGGCCTACACATTTGCTAATGCTTTATAGGGCACAGTTGATTTAAAGTAGTACCAACATATTTAAACCTCTATGAGAAAGCACCAGCCCTGATGACACATGCACTGATGTCAGGTCAGAACTTACTCTTCTACACACTAGCGGTGATGTTCAAATGTTGGTTAAGCTCTGCGCAGGGACTCTGGGAAGGAGCTGCCCCAGGCTTTGAGGAGAGCGAGAACAGACCGAAACAAGAAGAGAACGGGTAGAAGAGCTGCTCTAAACTGCGGTGAAACCCTCCGTCTAAAAGAATACATGATTTAGTGAGGTCCCCAGCTATGCCTTTGGTCTACCAGAGCAATTCCTACATGGTGCTTTAACTTACAAACTCCACATCTCGGTTCCCAGGAATGGATATTTTAACTCTCGAGCCCCCAGAAATGTTTGAATCTGCGGCTAACTTCGGTATTGCATCCCTGAATATTTCACGAAGGCTTTGAGATCTCCTGCAGTAGCATATCCTGTGGCGGGGACAGAGAGAGCAACCAGGTCAGAGCAGGAGGTAAGGCCAGAATCATTATAATTTACCATGAAATTGTCAGATACATTAAGGGGTTGACTCCCAGGATCGTTTATGAATGTGTACATACATTTATCAAAAGTGCGACTAATTTACTCCTGCAAGAACAAAGGATGCCTAAGGGGTCTATGTGTGAGCTCATTTGCAGGATTTCTGTATGGCATTGAGTGACAGTGATGCAGCCTCTCACTTGACCCACTGATCCCTGGGAAATGAATTTTGTCAGCACAGATTAAGTAAAAGCACAAACTGGTATTATCAGAGAGATGAGGTGACAAAAGGCTTATAATCACTAAAGAGCAAGCTTCACTCATTTAAGAAGGTGTTCGTGTGCTGGGGCTAAAACTATCCGCCTGTCTAATATTCACTACGACACAATGACAGTGAAATGTAGTTTCAACAACGAGTAAAAGATACTTGGAGCCTATTAAAAATGATCTACACCTTACAATAGTCATTATCAAATAATGAAAACTCTAGTTCCAAGTCGACATATTTGAGGAGATGCAGTGATGTGTCTGCACTGTTGTGCTGTTCCTCTCTCTCTAAGTTTTGGTTTCATGAAAAAACCCTAACAAAATGGCAAAAAAGATTTAAAAAAGAAAAAGTCTTTGCTACAGATTTGGGATGTTGTGCTTCGTTCATTAACATGAGCCTCCTGTCATTTCAAAAAGCCTGATCCAAGCGTTTAAATTTATTAACAATAAAACTGACAATTATACTTGCAAAACTACTACGAGGTTATGCCAAATTATAGCGTCTCACAAACAAAAGCTTCTCCTCTTAATGTCAGCCAATGCTCAGTGAACTGCCAGAGATAAAAGTATTCAACCGCAACTGCTCAAATTATTAGACAAATTACCACTGCTTTAGGTCGCAAAGACAATTCACATTTACATTACATCTTACTAAATAGATACAACATGTAATTCATTCATTCATCGTCATCCCCTTTGTCCATTTCTGGATCATTTAGTTTTAAATGTATGTGCCCAGACTAAATATGTAAGATGTGTATTTTACTGCTTGTTTTATGAACTTAAATACATTTTATAAACTTGTAAAATGTTCTGGTCGTTATGGGGCTTGTATTCACTGGGGTCTACTATGTACAGCTGACACGGAACAGAAAGAGACATTTTAATAAGAGTTGATTTTCTCATGATTCTTTTGTTTTTTTGACATTCTCAGAGCAAAGCAAGAAGTTCTTCCTCATTGGCATTGAAAACATGTATTTCAGTTAATTCTTCCTTGAATTCTCCGTTCTGATCGATTCTTTCTCTGTACACTGTAGCTTTGGGATCCATGCAGACCCTGATGCAAACGCCAGCTTGTTTACAACAGCGGCTGCCTCCGCGTCGCAGGCTATGATGCAAATCTACGTTGACAGGAATGTTGAAATTGAATATTTCTTATGCACATTCTCACAGCATTGAAAAATGTAAAGAATAGTTGTCCTCCTACAGAAACCACACTAAAACTAAAAATAAAATATACCCCTCCCACTCCATTTTCTAATTCTATTGCATCAGCAAAAAACCTCCTGTACTTCAGGATACATGGAATGTAAATGCTCAAAGGCGACAAGTTTGGACAAACACAGAGAACGAAGAGGGGCTTTGATAAACAGACAACACTAAAAACAAAACATCAACTTTTGAAGTGTCAAACTTCAGAGCAGTCTCCTCAGTTCTGACAGGGGACAGAGTCTCAAACGAAAATTCAGTGAGAAGACTGGATATGAGTCTAGTGCTTGTGTCTGAGCGCACTGAGCCAAGTTGGCCTGGTGAACCCGACTGCTGAGGACTGATACACCACATTAGCTCCAAATTCAACTCTCCAAAGTCTGAAGGGAGCTTACCCCGATGCAGGCCACTTTGCCCCAGCTTACATACATATCTGGCCATTTACTTGCCTGTTCAATGATATTCAGTTACTGCATTTGAAAGAATTCACTTCTTATTTTCATTTATTTAACCAGGAAATTGCAACAATGCAAATTAAAACAATATTTGTTTGTGTGTTCACAATTCTAATTGAGCAAATTATTCAATAACAACATTTCTAAGTCCTTTTCTTTTGCTGCACGTGTAGACTTTTTTATGCAAAAGTGCAAACAAATCAATTTCCCTTGAATTTAGAATGCAGTGCTCTCAGTTACTGTAATAGAAAAAAATTACAAAATGCACAGAAGAGGTATCCGTAACACATTTCTGTCATTTCTGTAAGGTATACACATTCTTGCCAACAATAATAGAGACTTGAAGACAAATAAAAAACATCCTACTCTCAAACGAAGAGAAAAACAGCATATTTGAACATGTGTTGTGATTTTTATCCAGATTTGAGAAATGATACCTTCAAAACCGTTCTACTTTGAGACAGGAAAGCAACGTGATGAATAAATTACCC